TGCCGACAGTCGCTCCCCCGGCCCGGCCGCCCCCTCCTCCACCGCCGCCTTCAGCCCCTTGGCCTCACCATCCTCAAAGCCCAAGTCCACCGACTTCAGTCCCAGGTCGCCGGCGACCCCCACGGGGCCCTTCTTGCCGTAGTGAGGCTCCTGCCAGGAGCAGTGCAGCCCCAGGCCGGCCCGTGGGTGGGCGCCGCGCTCCAGGTCGGGGTCCTGCAGGCAGCTCATGTAGCGTGGGCCGCAGAGCGAGGAGCGCGGGCGCTGGCCCTTCTTGCCGTTCCGCTCCCCCCATGCTGTCTTCCGCTCGTCCACCTTGGGCACCAGAATGCCACTAAACCACGACATGCTGTGGGCACCAAGGAGAGGGGGCGTTAGCACCCAGAGGCCCGGGCACATGGGGAACGCTCAGGGGTATCAGTGCCAAGGGGCAGCAAGGGTGGGGAGCGTCAAGGCTGTGGGAGATGTTAATACCAAGCATACGGCAGGGGTGGGCACCCAGCTTCAGCCCGGCTGGGGAGGGGTGTTGCTAGAAGACAAGCTGCGTACGGGGGTGCAGTAAGACCCCTTCCAGGCAGAGCCTTGGCTGCCACAGACAGGGTCTGCACATACCCTACTTCCTCCCACCCCCAATTCCAACTCAGCCCGGTGGGAATCCCCTGACGTTAACCTGCCAGAACACACACCTGGGTGGCTGCTCTGTGCCAGGAGCACTGAGCTGGGACGAGAGGAGCCGGCATTTAACCCAACAAGGCAGCAGGAGGGCAGTGCCCTAGTCCCACCTCACGTCCAGCTGGGCATGGGGCAGGCACAGGGGCAGGCTGGGCCAGGCACCTAAAAGGAGAGGATGCAGGAGAGGCCATCAGGTAAGCTCAGGACGCCAGCCACCCACAAAGGGGGCCACCCGCAGCCCCTTCCCCTGCCACCCAAGCCCCTTCCCAACAAACATCCACGGCCCTTATCTACATAGCAGAGCCAAACTGACAGACTCTCCTCAGCAAAGCCACAGCCCCACCATTGTCCAGGCCACCTGGCCCCGACTGTCCCACTCCTGGCCAGACACCCATCCCAGGCTGGAACATAGCACCATGATCCCCATGGTTCAGCGCTGGGTGGGGGGCGGTGGTGGGAGTCCTCAAGTGGTGGAGGGGATGAAACATGTGGTGCAGCAGCAGCATTCACACACAGGGTATCTGTTCAGTTTCCACTCTGAAGTCCTGTGTGGCTGTTAAACAGCCCCTGTGCCCCACCCCAGAAGCAACTGCATCTCTGCACCAGACGAGGGGGCCCTGCGGGTAACCCTCTGGAATCTTTAGGGTGAACAAGGACGACGTCCAATGAACGGAGCAAGCGCTACCTCCCACTCCAGCACAGCATGTTGAGAACAGGCTGGAAGGAGGCTTGAGCGGACCTGGTGAGAAGTGGCCGCAAGGCTGGCTCCAGTCCCCCAGAGGATCCTGCTTGGTTGTCTCACCATGTCAGGGCTGCCCTGGTTTTGCTTTTCAAAAAATAAAAAACTTGAGCAAGCTCAGGCATGGAGCCCTGGGCAAGGTACCCCGGAGCCTCGCCTGCGCCTCTCAACTTTGACCCAGAGTCCCAGCAATCCCAGCCCTGGACTTCTGCTCACAAGTCCCAGGACAGTTAGGGACTTACCCTGTGTTTGAAAGAGCCACCAGGGCCTTTTAATGTGGCCCCAGAGCCCCTCCTCCAGCCCAGCCCGAGTGATTCAATATGCAGCAAAACTCAAATAATCTTCTGCTTTCAAACTCTATTTGTCTTGAATGGCGGCCAAGCCCGTGCTCCGTTTAGCTCCAGCCTCTTTGGAGAGTTATTCCGTCTCCTCCTCCTCCTCCACGGCCCTTATCTACATCCCGGGAGCCAGTGTCAGCGCCATGACAGCACGCCCCGTTACTGCGGGGACGCAGGCACGATCCTACCCGGGGAGCAGCCCCCAACACCCCCTTCCAGCCCAGGATCTCAAAGCAGCTTGCAGAGCTCCTTCCCCCAGCACCAAGGTTGAGAAGTGGCAGCTGATTAGCAGCCACACACCTCAGGACAGGAAGTGGCTACAACCCACAGAAGAGGGGGGGGGGGAAGCAAAGCAAAAGAGCTTCCAGCTGGAATCTGGCCAGGCCATGGGGGCTTAGAACCCCGACGCCCTGGGCACAGGACCCTCCGGATCCACTCAGCGCAGCATGTCGGGTACACGCCTCAGCCCACAGCCACCACCTTCCGCAGCACGCAGCCCTGCAGCAGGGGGGTCTGCGTCTCCCGCGGGGCACCTGCAGCTCCCCTGGGCTCCCCAGGCAGCGGGGGGCTCCCAGCCACGTAGGGAACCCGCTTCGCTCAGGGCAGCTGTTGGCACCTCCCCACCCCGCGACAAAGGGCAGAATCCAAACCCGCCCTGCTGGAGACGGGGGCTGGGGGGCGAGGTGCAGCACGCAGCCCTGCAGCAGGGGGGTCTGCGTCTCCCGCGGGGCACCTGCAGCTCCCCTGGGCTCCCCAGGCAGCGGGGGGCTCCCAGCCACGTAGGGAACCCGCTTCGCTCAGGGCAGCTGTTGGCACCTCCCCACCCCGCGACAAAGGGCAGAATCCAAACCCGCCCTGCTGGAGACGGGGGCTGGGGGGCGAGGTCTCTACTTTGCGGGGACTCTGCGAGCCCCCCATGAACCCCGACCTACAAGCAGCTCCCCAGACCCGGGGAGATACCCAGCTCCCCCCCCCCCCC